AATACCTCAGAAAATAATTTCTGAGGTATTTATTTCGAGAAAAGATTTAGGTTAAACAGTCAAAGGTCACAAAAATCCACAAAAAGGGCGTCCAGCAAACTTAAAAGAATATTATTTTAATTTCAGGCCCCAAAGATCGCGACTGATTTTTCCGTTCATTCAAACGGCACCAAGAAGTTTTGACCTCCTATTACGGCTTAATCCTCAATTTACGGCCAAAATTGAGACCAAAATTTCCGTTCCTAAGCGAGACAAGCGAAGGGAGTTTCTGCCCCATTGTGCGACTATCCTTTCCTCAGTTGTTGAGTGAATCACCGGTTGTTAAGTTAGCAACAAGGTCCTTAAGCGAATCCGGCTTCCCCATCGACTTTGCTTGTCAAAAGGTCGCAAAAGGGAATCATGTGACACCCCCCCTCCGGGATACTGATACTACCGTCGTAACTATGAGTCAGTTGACAAGCCCCTGAGTTTTGATCACACGACCGCAGGGATGCTGCAACGGTCGTTAAGTGTGAAAAGTGGTCATAAGTCACTTTTTCCAGTGCTGTTGTTCAAACGGTCACTAAATGGACCGTTGTAAGTTGAGGGCTATCTGCATCAGGAAATAAGGAGGTGTTTGAGATGGGGAGCATGAAACGAAAGTTAAAAATTGTGTGGTTTAAGGGAGGGGAAAATACCCCCGTTGTGTTTGAGAAATTGTGTGAAAATTTTTCCCGCCGTTAAACCACACAATTTAGGTTTCGTTTCATGCTCCCCATCTGTTTTTATCCTGATAAATTTAAAGTCACACCTCTTGGCACTTCTTTGAATGTCCGTTATGTTATTTTGGGCCTGAAATTCAAGAACAGGTGATCCTCAACTTACAACCACTTGTTTAGTGAGTGTTCGAAGTCAACGACAGCAGTGGAAAAAGTGACTTACGACTTGTTTTTTCACACTTATGACCGTTGCAGCATTCCCATGGTCAAAATTCAGACGCTTGGCAAACGGACTCGCATTTATGACGGTCGAGGGGTCCTGGGGTCAGATGATTCCCCTTTTTTGTGACCTTCTGACGAGCCAAGTCAATGGGGAAGCCAGATTCGTTTAACGACCGCATTACTCGTTAAGCGGCTCGCTTAACGAGTGTGGCAAAAAAGGTTGCAAAATGGGGCAAAACTCACAAATGTTTCGTTTAGCCATGGGAATTTTGGGGCTCAATTGGGATCGTAAGTCGAAGACAACCTGAAATTAAAATTCTACCTGTAATTAAAATTCTACCTGTAATTAAAATTATTTTGCTAGACTTTCTTTAATCTGGATCTTTGTGACCTTTGTTTGAGGTCAAACAGGTCTCACTCTTAAAGAGAGCGGCTATTTCTTTAGATTTTATACAAATCATTATCTTTGCAAATTCCAGCGTGTCAAGTTTTGGGAATCTGAAGTATTTCTGTTCACAGAGAGCCAGCATAATTTGCATTAAATTACCCTTCGGATCCGTATTTCTAAAGAAATCCAAGGAATTGCTTTCCTTGCCTGTAGAGGTAGTTCTCAACTTACAACAGCTCACTTAGTGACCGTTACAATGGGACTGAAATAAGTGACTTACGACCATTTTTCACACCTACGACCGCTGTCACCTCCCCGTGGTCAAAATTCAGACGCTTGACAACTGGACTCATACTTATGACGGTCTCAGTGTCCCGGGGTCAGGTGATCCCCTTTTGTGACCTTCTCACAAACCAAGTCAATGGGGAAACCAGATTCATTTAACGACCGGGGTTACTAATTGAACAACTGCAGTGATTCACATTAACGACTGTGGCAAGAAAGGTTGTAAAATGGGGCAAAACTCACTTAACGAATGTCTCACTTAGCAAACAGAAATTTCGGGCTCAATTGTAGCTGTAACATGAGGACTACCCGTACTTCTCTGTTACATGCAGGTTGAATTTTATATATATATATGTGTGTGTATGTATGTATGTATGTGTGTGTGTGTGTGTGTGTGTATATATATATATATATATATATACACACACACACACACACATACATATATATGTTTTCTGAGGTTTTCGCGGGTGTTTGTATTGTAGGTCTTTGGTTATTCGGGTTTTCTCCCGCGTAAAATTAGAGGTGTCTTGGCAACGTTTCGACGAAGTCTCATTCGTCATCTTCAGGCTGGTGTTTTCGGCTTCGTGCTTCTAGGAGCAATGTGTCACATTGTCACATTGCTCCTAGAAGCACGAAGCCGAAAACACCAGCCTGAAGATGACGAATGAGACTTCGTCGAAACGTTGTCAAGACACCTCTAATTTTACGTGGGAGAAAACCCGAATAACCAAAGACCTACATATATATAAATACTTATATATTTATATATATATAAATTTCTTTTCTTTTCTTTTCGTAGGCCTTTATGTGTATTTCTCTTTAGCCAGGTTCTTCCTATATAAACCAAGATTTTTATGCAGCCCTAGTTCAGTGAAATCCCAATCCACTATATATCCAATCCCAATATATATATATATATATATATATATATTGCAGAGGTCACTTAAAGAGCTGAGCTGGCTGGGGAATTCTTGGGAGTTGAAGTCCACCTGTCTCAAATTTGGCCAACTCCAGAAACACTGATTTAAACTCTCACCAATGCCCTGAAAATGCATTGATAATCTCTTACGTTTCTGTTTCAGAAATTGCAAACTGCTGGCTGGGGGATTCTGGGAGCTGAAGTCCACCCATCTTCAAGCTTCCAAGGTTGAGAAACACTGGTTTAAACAACTGAACGCAAACAAAAAAAGGAATCGCCTGCCTTCCTTCCTTCCTTTTATACAAGATTGCATTCTGAATATTCAATCCACATGCGGATGCTTAGAGAAAGGGAATAGAAAGTCCAGGCTTTTCGTTAAGGAGCATTGTAGCTTGTTCTGTGTCATGTGTGAATCCGGGGTTTTGTGGCACTTAAACCTTCTTGATGGCTTAGGGTCCTTTGGAAAGCCAGACCAGTCATGATTCCTTCATGGGTAAACCAAGCCGTGGTTTATTTTAGAGAGCCAGGCGTGAATGCAAGGATTTGCCGAATTTTCCCACGAAGCAGCAGTTTTGAACTACAGTTCCCCAGTTTAGTGTAAAGTACATCAAGTTATTAAAAAGTTGGAATTAGGGCCACTGAATTAAATAGAAAGTGTTTCGCTCGGGATCAAAGCAAAATTCCAGGTCTGTTTAAAAAAACCCAAAAACTAGGACATTCATTCACACAACCTGAGCTTCCTCCAGGTTAACCAGGATAAGTTTTATTTTACTTTTGGGTTAACCGCTTGTGCGAATCAGCCCGTCTGCTTAGCTTCTCCTGTCTTTTACAAACCCAGGAAAGGGATTAAACGGAAGGTGTTGTGTGAACGCAGCCAAACAGGCAGCCTTTTTCCCCAGGTCAGAAGTTTCAAAAGAGAAGAAAAGAAAAGAGGGAAGAGAATTTCATCTGAAAGCCCTACCTTTAAATCTCCCCATTCTTCCCCCCACTCACCCCATGGCGAACAGAGGCGACCCTCACCTATGGAGGGAGGGAGAGAGGGAAGGAAGAAAGGGAGGGGAGGGGAGGAAGGAAGGAGGAGAGAGAGGGGGAGAATGGGGAGAAGGAAGGAAGAAAGGGAGAGGGAGAGAGAGAAAGAGAGAGAGAGAGAGGAAGAGGGGAAAGGAAGGCAGGGTGGAATTCAGAAAAGGAAGGGAGGGAGGGAGGGAGAGAGTGGGACAGAGGAAGGGGAAAGGGAAGGAAGGGAGGAATTCAGAAAAGAAAGCAGGGGGAGAAAGAAAGAAGGGAGGGAGGGAGAGAGAGGGAGGGAGGGAGAAGGAAGGGAAGGAAGGAATTCGGAAAAGGCAAGGAGGGGGAGAAGGAAGGAAGGCAGAAAAGGAAGGAAAGAAAGGAGGAGGAGGAAAAAGAAGAAAAGGAAGGAGGAGGGAGGGCGGAAGGAAAAGAGAGAAAGGGAGAGAGAAAGAAGAAAGAGAGAGAGGGAGAAAGAAAGAAAGAAAGAAAGAAGGAAGGAAGGAAGGGAAGAAAGGAGGAGGAGGAAAGAGAAGAAAGGGAAGGAGGAGGGAGGGCGGAAAGAAAAAGAGAAAGAAAGAAAGAGGGAGGGAAGGAAGGAAGGTAGAAAAGAAAGGAGGAGGAAAGAGAAGAAAGGGAAGGAGGAGGGAGGGCGGAAAGAAAAAGAGAAAGAAAAGAAAGAAAGGGAGGGAAGGAAGGAAGGTAGAAAAGAAAGGAGAAGGAAAGAGAAGAAAGGGAAGGAGAAGGGAGGGCGGAAAGAAAAAAGAGAGAAAAGAAAGAAAGAAAGAAAGAAAGAAAGAAGGAGGAGGAAAGAAAAGAAAGGGAAGGAAGGAAGGAAGGAAGGAAAGAAAGGAGGAGGAAGAAAGAGAAGAAAGGAGGAGGAGGAGGGCGGAAGGAAAAAGAGAGAAAGGGAGAGAGAAAGAAAGAGAGAGAAGGAGAAAGAAAGAAAGAAAGAAAGAAAAGAGGGGAGGGAGGGAAGGAAGGAAGGAAGGAAAGAAAGGAGGAGGAAAGAGAAGAAAGGGAAAGAGGAGGAGGGAGGGAGGGTGGAAGGAAGGAAAAAGAGAGAAAGAAAGAAAAGAAAAAGAAAGAAAGAGAAGAAAGGGAAGGAGGAGGGAAGGTGGAAGGAAAAAGAGAGAAAGAAAGAAAGAAAGAAAAGAAAGAAGAAAGAAAGAAAGAAAGAAAGAAGAAAGAAAGAAAAGAAAGAAGAAAGAAAGAAAGAAGCGAGCTTAAGGACCGTCCGGGCGAGCGTCTTTCCCCCAGAATAAAAAAAGGGGTGGGTGGGCGACCCCCTCCCTCCCTCCCACCTGGCGACCCTCCTCCCCTCCCGGCCGAAGCGCCGCTCGGAGTCCGTCGGGGGCGCATAGCGACCCCCCAGCTTTCCTCCCAGCCCCGCCGGAGCCGCGTTCCCAAGAGGAGCCCCCCCCTCCCCTCCCCTCCCTCCCTCGAGGGTCCCGATCCCGCGCAGCCCCGGACTCACCAGGAGCTCATGGTGGCCGCGGCAGGCGCGAAGATGCGCGGCGGAGAGGCAGCTGCTGCTGGCCGGCCGGCGTCGGGTTGCAAGTGCGGCTCCCTCCGGCCGCCCCTGCAGGGCCGGCTCTCCCCTCCCCTGGCCGAGGGAAGGCGGAGCCGGCCACCCCCAAGCCTCCGCCCGGCCCCGGCCCTCCTTAACCCCTTCGGATGCTCCGGACAGGGCCGGCCGGTCCGAGCGAGGGAGGGAGGCGCCCGCGGGCGCCGCTGCTGAAAAAGGGGAAGGAGGAGAACAGCCGCCCCCGGATCACCTTCAGCCCGCTGCCTCTAGATCTCCGCTCCGTCGCCTCGCTTTCCGGGGATCTGGGGGATCCCCCCGGGGCTCAATCTAGCCCGGGAGAGGCAGCTGGTCCTGCAGCGGCGCCCGCGGGCGCCTCCTTGCCTTGCCTCTGTCTCTTTCTCTAACCCCCATCCTGGCTGGAGTCTGGATTGATTGATTTATTTGTTTTATTTTTTTTATTTATTTATTTATTTATTTATTTATTTATTTTATCGTGTTGTATACCGCCCAACTCCTGGCTAGAGTCTGGATTTCTTTCTTTCTTTCTTTCTTTCTTTCTTTCTTTCTTTCTTTCTTTCTTTCTTTCTTTCTTTCTTTCTTATTTAATCATATTTGTATACCACCCTACTCCTGGCTAGAGTCTGGATTTATTTATTTATTTATTTATTTATTTATTTATTTATTTATTTATTTATTTATTTTATCGTATTTGTATACCGCCCTACTCCTGGCTAGAGTCTGGATTTCTTTCTTTCTTTCTTTCTTTCTTTCTTTCTTTCGTTTCTTTCTTTTCTTTCTTTCTTTCTTTCTTTCTTTCTTTCTTTCTTTCTTTCTTTCTTTCTTTCTTATTTAATCATATTTGTATACCACCCTACTCCTGGCTAGAGTCTGGATTTCTTTCTTTCTTTCTTTCTTTTTTCTTTCTTTCTTTCTTTCTTTCTTTCTTTCTTTCTTTCTTTCTTATTTAATCATATTTGTATACCGCCCTACTCCTGGCTAGAGTCTGGATTTATTTATTTATTTGTTTATTTATTATTTATTTATTTTATTTATTATTTTATTTTATTTTATTTTATTTTATTTTATTTTATTTTATTTTATTTTATTTTATTTTATTTTATTTATTTATTTATTTATTTATTTATTTATTTATTTATTTATTTATTTATTTATTTATTTATTTATTTATTTATTTGTGTTTGTATACCGCCCTACTCCCGGAGGACTCAGGGCGGTGTGAACAGCCAAGATAAAAATACAAAGAACGTGTACAAAAGTGAAAAACTTATTAAAAACACGTTATTTTTATTTATATAACGTATGATTCACCAAATTGTATAAACACTGTACCCCTGATGGAGATAGAGATTGTATATATTTTCTTTTTATTCTGGAAAAAATTCAATGAAGTATTTAAAAAAAAAAACAACTATTAAAAATAGATTAAATAATTTGGGCTCAAAAAAACAAAACCAAATTCAAGACATCCAATTTATCTAAAAACATTTAAAACCCAATTTAAATTTGGATGCCCAAATCCCCCCCCCCCAAAAAAACCCCACTTAGCTAACTCTGTTAGTTTCCTTTGCTTGGGGTTGAATGGGGGCAGAAGAGGGGGGGGTGTGGAGGGGGGTTTAACCTAGATAGGGGTAACCCCCTTTCCCTGGGGCACCCCCATTGTGCAAAATGGGGGTGCCTGGTTATTTACGGGACCGCCTGCTACCACCAATAGCCTCCCACCGGCCAGTACGCTCTCATAGAGAGGGGCTCCTCCGGGTGCCGTCGGCCAAACAATGTCGACTGGCGGCCCCCAGGGGGAGGGCCTTCTCTGTGGGGGCACCTACCATCTGGAACGAGCTCCCGCCGGAGATACGGAGGATCCCAGATCTGCGCACCTTCCATCGCACGCTCAAGACTTTCTTATTTCATCAAGCTGGCTTGACCTAAGTCTTTTCCCCTTTTTAAATGGAAATTTTAAATTTGGTTTTAAATTATTGGGGTTTTAAATTTGTTCAGCCAAATTATTGAATGTGTTTTAGTTTATTTTAAATTTTGTATCTATATGTTTTATTCTATGGCTGTTCGCCGCCCTGAGTCCTTCGGGAGGAGGCGGTATACAAATTCAAATAAAATAAAATAAAATAAAATAAAATAAAATAAAATAAAATAAAATAAAATAAAATAAAATAAAATAAAATAATAAAAATAAAATAATAAAATAAAATAAAATAAAATAAAATAAAATAAAATAATAAAATAAAATAAAATAAAATAAAATAAAATTAAAATAAAATAAAATAAATAATAAAATAAAATAAAATGCCTGTGACCTGGTTTGGGAGGTTGTGTGAATGCAGCTGGACTGACCAAACTGGTTTTGCTTTGGAAGAGATGATGCTCCTTCTCTCCCTGTCTCTCTCTCTCGCTCTCTCTCTCTCTCTGCCCTTGGGGAAAGGCGGACCCTTGTCCATGACGCAATTATCCAGGAATTTCCATCCTTTAACCAGGTTATATTCCGTCCACCTGGATGAATTGGGGCTACCTGGGCGCCCGCAGGATTTACACAGTGGTGGGATTCAAGTAATTTATCTCGGAGATACGGAGGATCCCGGATCTACGCACTTTCCGCCGTGCTCTTAAGACCTCCTATTCCAGCAAGCCGGCCTGGCCTAATTTTCTCCCCTTTCTTTTTAATTTTTTAAACTGAAATTTTAATTTGTTTTAAATTATTGGGATTTTAATTGTCTTGGGCTAAATTATTTAATTTGGTTTTAAATTGTTTCTAACTTTTGTATTTATGTATTTTATACTGTGCCTGTTCACCGCCCTGAGTCCTTCAGGAGTAGGGCGGTATATAAATTTAATAAAAAACAAACAAACAAAAAAAACAAACAAACAACCAGTTCTCTGCCCTAATGATTTCTTCCAAAAACCGGTTTGCCAAAACTGCTCTGAAAGTTTAACAACCGGTTCTCCCGAAGTGGTGCGAACCGGCTGAATCCCATCACTGGATTCACACCCGCGGCAGCTGCATTCGCACAACTCCCAAAGTACGGGGTTAAAAAGTAAACCTGGTTCTCTGCACCCTTTTGCTGGGTGTTTTCGCTCACCAACCCACCCCCTTTAAATCTTTATTTGAAAAGTTTATTTCCCAGGTCGGGGTAGATGTGGGTTTAAAAGTGGCTTGTGGAACTCCGGAGAGAAAGATTTGGAGGAAATCCTCCCGTTCGAAAGAACGAAAAAAAAAAAAGAGGGGTTTCTTAGGGCAGTGTTTCTCAACCTTGGTAGCTTGAAGATGGGTGGATTTCAACTCCCAGAATCCCCCAGCAGCCAGAGCGCTGGCTGGGGGATTCTGGGAGTTGAAGTCCACCCATCTTCAAGCTTCCAAGGTTGAGAAACACTGTCTTAGGGAATCTGGGTGACTCATCCAGGATCTTGTGATTAAGGAAAATATAGGGTTTTTTTTTTTTGCAATCGATACATAGATGTAGTAAAGTAGTAGTAAGTTGCTCAGCAGGTGGCTAGAGATGTTGGCAGGCTACAGGAGTCCTCGAAGCCCAAAATTTCCACTGCTAAGCAAAACAGTTGTGAGTTTTGCCCCATTGTTGCCACACGCATTGTTAAGTAAATCATTGCAGTTTGTTAAGTTAGTTAACATGGTTAACGGAATAACAATAACAGAGTTGGAAGGGACCTTGGAGGTCTTCTAGTCCCAACCCCCTGCTCAAGCAGGAAACCCTAAAACAGAGGTCTTCAAACGTGGCAGCTTTAAGACTTGTGGACTTCAACTCCCAGAATTCTATGGGAGTTATGCTGGCTGGAGAATTCTGGGAGTTGAAGTCCACAAGTCTTAAAGCTGCCAAGTTTGAAGGCCTCTGCCCTAAAACATTTCAGACAAATGGTTGTTAAGTGAATCTGGCTTCCACGTTGACTTGACTTGTCAGAAGGTCGCAAAAGGTAGATCTCGTGACCTCCGGACACCGCAACCGTCATAAATACATGCCAGCTGTCAAGAACCTTGTAAGAAGAACTTATAAAATTTGTACAACTGAGTTAGAAATATTGCACAGGAAGCCATATGTTAACCGAGCCTCCCACAAAGTTACTGATCAACAGTCTCAAAATCCTTTAAACTCTCAACAAAAATGAGAATTAAACACTTATTTCATGTTTCTGTCTGGAAACCGCTTCTGGGCTTTGTGCTTGAGGTGGGAAAAAAACATGAAACTTTGGGTTTTACGGATTAGATATATTTGTTGTTATAGAAATGGCTAGTTTAAACTATTATGTAAAAGTAAAAAGTTGTGATTGGATGTTGAAACCTAATTCTACTGCATCAAAGGAAGTCAGAAGTCAATGCCTTTTCTTTCTTTTTCCATATTTTTCTCTTTCTCCTCCCTTTCCCTATTTCTCTCCTTTTTGCTTTTGGGGTTTTTTTTTGTATGTTATATCATTAATAAAATTGTTTTAAACAGAAAAAAAATAAAAGAAATAAAAAGAATTAAACACTTATCGGTATTTCATGTTTCTATCTGGAAACCACTTTTGGACTTTGTGCTTGAGGTGGGAAAAAAATGAAACTGTGATTTTGGGTTTTACCGATTAGATAGATGTGTCATTATAGAAATGGCTACTTTAAACTATGACGTCAAAGTAAAAAGTTGAGGTTGAAGGTTACGCCTTATTCTACTGCACCAACAGGAGTCAAAAGTCAATGCCCTTTCTTTCTTTTTTCCCCTTTTCCCTACACTTTTCCCTTCCCTTTTTCCTCCCCTATTTTTCCTACTATTTTCTTTTGCAGGGCTTTTTTTTTTGGTATGTTATTATATCATCAATTAATAAAATTGTTATAAACAGGGTAAAAAATAAAAGAATGAAACCCTTATTTCCAGATTGTAAGCACGAAAAAGCAAAGACACAAAAATTCAATCAACACAACGCAATCGAAACGATAACGCTCACAATTCAATCAAAAAGATTCAACCCACCTCCCTTGATTT